TCTGCAGAAAACACTTCTTGCATCACATTTTGTGAAAAACATGCTTGCTGCCAGTTTTTCCACATTATCACCGACAGACTAAGCGGCGTGAATTTTCCTCCTTACTGCTTTGTTCAACTGAGTAAGACCCACAGACAATCTTAGTTCTCTGTTTTTGTTAGGGAACAGTTACCAGCCCTGAGCACCATTGCGTCAATTTCACCAGCAAATTATGACCCCCAATCTTTGAAATTCTCTGCCAATGTTCATTCTGAAGTCCTGTATCCCACTGTCCCTAAGAGACATAGACAAATATATGCATTTCTGCTCAACAACGAGGTATCCTGACTCCTCAATACGGTGTCATTCACATTTCAAATCTGTGACTAAACCTCATGAACGAAGCACACATCAGAAGTAAGAGGGTAAATGCAAGGAGAGAAAATTCTGAACTAACAACTCATCCACATCTCAGTCATATGTTGAGTTCCATCCCAATTGCAATTGAACCTTTCGGACACACATCAGTCTTTGCAATCACCCACCTTCCCACTAGAACCCAAAGGACAAATATGAAGCATTTTAACTTGGTCCTCCAAGGACTAGATCTGTTCTCTCACTCTTTGAATCCAATGTTGGGAGTTCTGGACTTTCCAGCAGAGAGAGTTACAAACCCAGACCTAAACAATTCTTCATGCCAGTTTAAGAGAATATTGTCGACGATCACAGCTCACTTTCTCCTGGTCCAACCCTAATCATCACTCACCTGCAGTGAATAGGTAATTGTTAGGAGCACTGTCCACAGACTCATGAGCCCCAGTCCTCCACAGAAGAGTGTTTTTCTCCCAACCCGTTCAACTAAGAATGCCTGAGGAATGAGATACACAAATGAAGACATTCAGTAACAACGATATCCCTAAGATATCCCATAACCGGCCTCAAGAGGAAACCAGGATGAGTCAACTACAGATGTTCAATTTGGCTCAGACAAATTTCTCCATGTCCTCACAAGTCTCTAATATGGGCCTTTTGTTATAAACCCAAGTTAAGTGGACCCACTTACTGTGCATCTTAGGGACGTCTGTCACTGAGCTTCAGGTAGCATTAGGTGATTTGAAACTGTCAGTTCTTATTGCTATAAGAACATAAGAAACAGGAGCAGGAGTAGGCCATCCGGCCCTTCGAGCCTGCTCTGCCATTCAATAAGATCATGGCTGATCTTTTCGTGGACTCAGCTCCACTTACCCCACCCGCTCACCATAACCCTTAATTCCCTTGCTATTCAAAAATCTATCTATCTTTGCCTTAAATACATTCAACAAGGAAGCCTCAACTGCTTCACTGGGCAGGGAATTCCACAGATTCTCAACCCTTTGGGTGAAGAAGTTCCTCCTCAGCTCAGTCCTAAATCTACTCCCACTTATTTTGAGGCTATGCTCCCCTCACCAAGGTTCTAGTTTCACCTGCCAGTGGAACCAACTTCCCTGCTTCTATTCCCTTCATAATTTTACATGTTTTTATCAGATCACTCCCCACCAATCTTCTAAATTCAAATGAGTATAGTCCCAGTCTACTCAATCTGTCCTCATAAGCCAACCCTCTCAACTCTGGAATCAACCCAAAAACCTCCTCTGCACCCCCTCTAGTGCCAGTACATCCTTTCTCAAGTAAGGAGACCATCTGGTTTATTTGCAGAGAATGCTCGTCCATAGGAGCTAGTTTGAGCTCAATGGCACTGCGCAACCAGAAACTCTTTGTATACAATGAATATCATCCATGACCTGGTGAGCCCCTGAGAAGACTGAGTCTTCAATAGCCCTAGTCATAGCGAAAGGATAAGTTACTAAGAGGAGCTCATTTTGGAGAAAATCAATTACAGAAAACTAATGAAGGCCTCAACCACCTGTATTCTTCCCAACACCAATAATTCAGTTGAACATTGTACCTACACAGATCAGTAATGTAAACATTTCAATCAGTCCTGTTCCAATGGACACATATGGTATTGTCTCATCAGGAATTCCTGCTGCCTGGAAAATCTCAAAAGCATAAGAATAGATCTGGAAGACAAAAAAAAGTATTAAAGTTTTTGGGAAGATTTGTAGCTTGGGGTTGTGGATGAGGCTGTAGACTTGCTCGCTGAGCCGGTGTGTTTGCTTGTAGATGTTTTGTCTCCCTGCTAGGTAACATCGTCAGTGTCCCTCTGGTGTTCTGTCCAGTGCAGAACTGGAAGTGACACTAACCACCCCAACAAACCTAGGCATATAAATAACACGCGGGACAGAACACCAATGCTTCACCGGAGGTGCACTGACGATCTTACCTAGCAGGGTGACGAAACATCTGCAACGAAACACACTGGCTCAGTGAGCAAGTCTACAATCTCAAAAAAGTGTATTAAAATAAAACTTTGTGAATAGAAGTTTTGTGTTTCAACTCTACTATAAATTCTGTGTAATATGAAAAGTGGAACCGAATTATGCCCTGGATCTACTCTTCAAATTGTCGCTTGCCTTCCAACTTTCTTTCACCTGAAGATTTGTCTTGGTCTTGTTTCCAATGTCATGTCTACCAAATATCATACAATACCTACATTGTGGAAGCAGGCCATTCAGCCCTTACCAACCCTTTGAAAAACATCCCACCTCATCCCTATAACTCTGCACTTCCCATAGTTAATCCACCACGCCTTACATCACTGGACAATTTAGCATGGCCAATCCGCCCAACCTGAATATCTTCGGGCTGTGGGAGGAAACCCACATAGGGAGGGAGGAGATTTTACCAAGGACATTTTTCCCTCCCCACCCTTATCTGCCTTCCGGAGGGACCGCTCTCTCCGTGACACCCTCATCCACTCCACACTCGCCGGTTTCTGAAGAAGGGTCCAGACCGGAAACGTCAGCTTTCCTGCTCCTCTGACGCTGCCTGGCCTGCTGTGTTCATCCAGCTCTACACCTTGTTAACCCACACAGGGGATATACAAAACTACACACAGACATTTTCCTAAGGGTTGAATCGAACCTGTGCTCCTGGTGCTGTGAGATGGTAGTGCTAACCACTGGGCCACCATGCTGCTCTTTGTATTAACTTGTCTACATGAAGTGTCTTGTGTTTACTGCATTCCCTTATTCAGCTTCCTGTTGTCCTGATCACTGATGATATATTTCTGTCACCATTGACCCAGCAAACATCAAGAGAAGGGGACTAATGTCTAGGCCATAATAAGGTCAGGAGATGGATGCGTGGGGGAGTTTTAAAAAAAAGACAAAATCAGGAACCTGCACCTCAGGGGGATCAGTGAAGCCTGTGACAGCACCCTAGATTGGAATGGTGCAGTGATCTGTTGCAAGGGAGGGGTCGCCGGTATTGTAGCGAAGTGAACGAAGGAAAATCCCCAAGAAGAAAGAGAAAAACATGAGGGTCAACAGAAAGTCACAAGAAACCTCCAGGGGAATGGAATGATGGCTGACTGACAGGAGGAGATGGAGAAACTTGGTTACATAACCTTGCACTGACCCCCAGTAAAACGAGGGAAACTGAACGAAGACCAAAGAAAAATTTAACTTGGAAACAGTTGATGTAAAGGTGGGTGAGACTTTGTTTTGCTGTAATTGCAGACTCTTACCAATAGGTGCTGCTATGAACTTATTTTCTCAATTCCCTCTCCCAGTTCCATTGCCATCTTGCATCAACAAAGAAATACTTATCTATTGGTCATGTACAATGCCACTGGCAATTTATTTGTATAAAATAATTACGTTATCTAACGGTTTAAAAGAACTCTGGCTTCTTTTCCACTCAAAACTGTTTTCTTAAACTTTTGCCCTCAATCTGCATCCATCTCCAACAATAAGTATGAAGTAGCTCATGGATTTGTCACTAAGATTGATGCCATCAGGTCAGCTGTCTGAATAAAATCCAAACTTCTTCTAAAGCTTCTCCTATCCTATCCTCATGCTTGCTTCTTTCTGTAATTTCTCTATTATCTCCCCTCATTTTCTCTCTGTGCTCATCTGTGAAATCTTCCTCCAGCCCCCTCAATTCCCAATAGCTTGTTGACCATCCACCTTCCTTTCTTAGTCTCCATGTCAGTCTCTCCTTCTAATCTGCCATCATCACCCCCCTTGATTGTACCATCCAAAAAAAAAACAGTGCTCCATTTCCAACCTCCCATTCCTCTCAAAAATTCCTCGAAATATTAATGTCTCCTAAATCCATGGCTTTCTTTCCTAGAACTCCATGGATGAATCCCTCCAATTGGTCAGGTTTCTGCCCTATCACAGCACTGGATGGCTCACATCAAAGGTACAAACGATATCCTGTGTTACTGTGACAAAGGTAAACTTTCCCGCTCATCCTTTCTGACTCACTATCAGCCTTTAAAAAGGTTAAGCAGACCATCCTCCTCCAACAAGTCTCTACCATTGTGCAACTGCATGGATTTACACTCACCTGGTTTCACTCTTATCTATCAAATTGCAGTCAGAGAATCACTTGCAATGCCTTGTTCATCCACTCCTAACCGTTACTCATGTTGTTCCCTCAAGGATCCATCCTTACCTCCCTCAGCTCACCAGACAGTATCACCTTCCACATGTAGGCAGATGACAATCAATTCTACCTCACCATCTCAGTTGTCTCAGGGTTTTATATCTCTGGTCCTTAAGCCCAGAGTTAGGTCTGCCATTGCCTAGTAAAGTGCCCAGTTGGCACCTAATTTGGCAGACATTCCTGAGAGGAGGCAATGCATGGCTCTTGCCAGCTGTCCATCCTGCTATTTCCACTAAGTACCACTCATTGTCTACGCTCCCAATCCAGACTGTGTACCCGAGGAAACAACTCCATCCGTTTCCTTAACAACATTCTGAGGCTGAACCAAAGTGTTCACAACTTTGATGTCATGGTTGACCCCAAGGTGAGCTATTGACCCTTATCCGCACCATCGCTAAGTCCAGCCATTTCTGATTCCAAGATATTGCCTGTCATCTCCCCTGCCTTAGTTTATCAACTGTTGAAACCCTCATCTAGGCTTTCATTACCCTACAGCTCAACTATTCCATTGCATTCCTGGATGGTCACCCACAGACTACCTTCCTTAAACTAAAGATTATCCAAACTCCGCTGTCTCTGGACTTAAATGAATCAAGTCTGATTCATTCAACACCCTGTGCTCAATGACCTACATTTGTTTCTGCAATGTGTTGGTTTAGTCATTTTCATCCTTGTTTTCAAATTTGTTGATAGTCTTACCTCTTCCTAACTCTATAAATGCCATTAGTTCATACCTGAACTCATGAAATACTGGCCTTTTGGGTATCCTTTGTTTTAATTGTTCTACCATAGGTAGACATGCCTTCAGCTTCCTAGACCCTAAGCTCTGGAATTCACTCCCTAAATCTCTCCACCTCCCTACCTCACTTCTCTCTTTTAAGTCAATCCTTAAAACCTGCCTCTTTGACCATGTTAGCCCCAGTATCACCTTATATGGCTCAGTGTCAAATTATGTTTCAACATATGCCTGTGAAGCGATTTGATGCTTTATGGTGCTAAAGGTCCTACATAACTGCGAGTTGTTGTTGTATTCAGATTCTGAATTTCCACACAGCTACCATTTCAGAATAACGTTCTTTCAAAATTTACCTTGATCTGGATGTTAAACCAATTGACCCATTTGTCATATGGCTCAATTCTCAGCTGAATCATGAAAAGTGAATTTTAAAATGGGAATTCAGATCGCACCACAACCCATCAGCTGCCTTATATTAACTGCATCATATTACGTTTGTCATGACTATCACTGATATTAGCTACTGTAGAAACTCCCACACCCCTCAGCAGTGAGGTATGGGAAGGCAATGCCCTTGCAGAGGTGAAGCTGCCTGAATGACTCACTGATAGTGAGTGGGTTGGTGCCAGTATTCGCTGCATTTATTATGTCTGACTCCAAAGCAAGATAGAGTTGACTTATACCATATTTAAGAATAGGTTATTCAAGTTATAAACAGGGGGACCACACTTGGTGAGGTTACTCTGTGTACGTTTAAAATATCTACATCGAATTCCTCTTCCCTTCCTAAACAGGGCATTAAATTATTTAAAATAATAGTTGGACTAAAAATAGAGAAGAATGCGATGTGTGTCTGATAAACATTCAAACGACCAGGTTTGAGATATAAGGTTAGGCTGAGACATTTTCACTGGAGCGTAGGAGGCTGAGGGGTGACCTTATAGAAGTTTATAAAATCATGAAGGGCATAGATAAGGTGAATGGCAGGTGTCTTTTCCCCAGGGTGGGAGATTTCAAGACTAGGGGGCTTCATTTTGAGGTGAGAGGAGAAAGATTTAAAAAGGACATGAGGGGCAACTTTTTTTATACAGACAATGATTTGTGTATGGAATGAACTTCCTGAGGAAGTGATGGATGTGGGCACAGTTACAACGTTTAAATGACACTTAGATATGTACGTGAATAGGAAAGGTTTGGAGGGAGATGGTCCAGGAGCAGGCAGGTGGGACTAGTACAGTTTGGGATTATGTTCAGCATGGACTGGTTGTTTCCATGTCGGGCGAATCTATGACCATACACACGTCAACCTAAGATGACCGAAAGTATAAAGCTTCGGATATAGTGAAATACAGCCCAGAGAAAGTCCATTCAGCCCAACCAGTGTTAGTGCGCCATGCAAGCCTCTCCCATTATTTTCTCATCTAAATCCATCCTCATAACCCACCATTCCCTTCTCTCTCATATGTTTGTCCAGCTTTCCTGTAAGTGCATCTATACTGTCTGTCTGCTGGTGAGTTCACTGTATCTCCCTTGTTACATGTGACAATAAATCATTCATTCATTCATACTCACCACTCTCTTCTGAATGCCCTATTGGATTTCTTGATACCTGTCTTATATTGACAGCCTCCAGCTATGGTAGTTCCCACAAGCAGAAACATTCTTTCTGTATCCACTCTTTCAACCTTCCATAATTCTGAAGTCCTCTGCTGGGTCACCTCTCAACCTTCCTTTTGCAAGAGACAACAGGCCCAACTTGTCGATCATTTCCAGAGAAAAATATAGGTTGACGTGAGGAATTAACTTATCTTTATCTAGTGCCTTTCACAACCTCAGAACTTCCAAAAACAGTTCTCAGGTAATGATAAACATCACCCAATCAACCTGCTCAATCATACACCTCTCAAGCAAGAATGGGACTTGAACTCAGGCTACAGGGTTCAGAGATAAGAATGCTACCTCTGCATCACAAGAACCCTACAATGATTGCTATACTCAATGTTACAACCAAGAAACAGGGCAGCCAAATTATGCACAATTCATTCTATAAACTGCAATGAAAGAAATGTCTATATAATCTATGTTTGCTGATGTGGATTAAAAGTTGGCTGGGACACCAAGCGAAAACCCCTGCTCTTTTTTAGTGAGGAGTAAGGTGTTATGAAATGAAAACAGGAAACACTGGAAAACATTCAGTATCCATAAGGGAGAACCACAGTTAACTTCCCAAGCAAAGGCCATGAGTCTGAAAATTACTGCCTGTTCTCCTGCATTCTCTGCATCTCTTTGGGAATCCCAGCATTGCTGAGGGTGATGGATTTTGCCAGTTCCTTTGTGTAAGTCCTGAAGCAGTCACCAAGATGTGGTATAGAGCCATGGACTCTTTCTTGCAATACTTACTGCATTGATGCCGCTGAGTTGTATGAGAAAAGACATCATCATGTTGATAAGGAGTTGACTCCGTATAGAGGGATCCATGCATAGCTCCCACACACTTCTTGCGCGTTCATTCCTTATGGCAGTCCGTTCAGCCTGCATTTCCTCAAGCTCTTGACTAAAATCGCGCTTGCCCCATAGTCTTTGGAGTGCTGAGAGTAAAACAGACGGGAAGAAGGAAGATACAAATTTAGGGCAAGAAAACACTAAAGGGCTCAGGTGGCTTTAAGGCACTGTTTGTATTTCAGATAAGGTCAAAGAGAGGAGACCAGTGGATCAGTCACCACTGCATCATAGTTTACTGAAAAGTGCTCTTGGCAAAATCTTAATGCGATCTTCACGAACGCAGCATGAACCTGGACAGAATGATTAGTTTGGAAGTCTGAGCCTGAGCGAGTTCAACACATCAATTAGAACTAAATTGTTGGAGATTTTCCTTTAAGCCCTTTCCCAGTACAGTCATGATGATATCAGCCTCTCCTGTTCAAGTTTGAGTGTCTCCAAGCCAGCTGTATGCACAACCTAGAATTAAGCAGATGTGAAGCTTACAGTCTCTACATATGAGGGTCGAGTAATTGATAATTATCAATGTGTAGAAGACTTGACCTCAACTATAGGAGAAATTCACTCTGGAATTACACGACTGTTTAGAAATAAGGTCCTCGACAAAATAGTCATTTGCATTATAATACTTTAGAAATATTGATGAAGATGGCTACTCCTCAACAATTACTTGTTAAATGGACCTTCATAAAATCATCGAAATTTGTGGCAGGGACAGAGACCATTAGGCCCCTCATGTCTGTACTGTACTAGCTGATAAGGAGCTAGCTGATAATCCCATTTTCCTATTCTTCTGGTTTCTAGCTCTTCAGCCAAAACTGCTGCCCACGATGAAAAAAGCTGTAAAAATCTGTGAATAATGCATACTGGCCTTGAATGGTCTGTATGCTTTAAAATGGAGCTCTACTACGACCAGCACATTCATTTCCAAGTATTGCTGCTATTTTTCTTAACAGTCTTTTCCCTCCGGCAAGTACTGACTAAATGTTATGATATCTGCCTCCAACACCCTTTCAGTCAGCGACTCAGTAATAGACATGAATTTCACAACATAGTGTTGTTCCAATATGAGGCACCAAACTAGTCAAATTCTCTCAATACTTTGACGTGCAAAGCAATGGGGCTTGATTAAAGAGCTATCAGCAGTGCAAAAGAGACCAGTAGTAACTGTTGATGCAGGAGAATGGAATATTATTTAAACTGCCTATTCCTAAACACTGTGGATTGAGTGCGTAGCTAATCATGGCACTCTACAAACATTATACAAAAAATAGTTAGATTTCCAGTCCACAACAGCAAACAGGAAGTGGCTGAAATTTCGGAGACTCCACTTCCACATAAATAAATGGACCAAAACTCTTCCAAATACTTAACCTTTCTCAACATCTAGTGCCTTGGTTGCCTAAATCAACTGTATTGTTGAGTGTTACAAATAATTGGCACTTAATATCCACATTATATCTACAGAAATGGACTTCAACTTGAGAAAGATCACCCAGGAGATAAGCTATTGTCACTTGCCATTCATGGACAAAGCCCTATTTCCTTTGTCAATCAGAAGGTATCTGGGGCTCTCTGGAAACCAGGGCAGAGTAACAAGCTGTATAAAAGCAGGTACGGCATTGAAGGCCATCAGTAAAGGCCATACACTTTCACTGCCTAGAATTTCTCTGGAGAAACAAAAAGAACACATAACACAGCAGATCAGATATATTCAATCACTTTTAAGCTCTCTAAGACATATCGATACTATAAAAACAGCTTGTTCAATTCAAACATATTTTACAGTGGGGATAAAACATTAAATTAAACGAGAAAGTGAGAGACCCTCCAGATTGGAGTAAAATAACCTCCCGTGAGTTACCCTCCTGTCTACAGTGAGATACCCGCTGGCGTGGAGTGAGCTACTCTCTAGTCTACTGGAGGGTGGCATACATTCTAATGTGGGATACCATCTGATCAAGGGTGAACTACCCTCCAGTCTAGAGTGAGGTACCTCCAGTCTAGAGTGAGATATTCTTCAGTCTGGTGTGAGATAGGCTTCGGTTTAGAGTGGAAAACCCTCTAGTTTAGAGTGAGATACTCTCTGGTCTTCAGTGATTCACCCACTGGTCTGGAATGAGGTATATTCTGGTTTGGAAGTGAGATGATCTCAATTGAGATACCATTTTGGCTGGACTTGGATAAAAAGTATACTTCATAGAAATGCATGCCACTCCATCTTTTTTAACTCCATCTTATTGTCCTTTATTAAACCAGTAAGGGAAATTGAATCCTGATTCGTGTTCAAAATGGAAGCTCGCATCCACCGCGAACCACAGCTATACCCCACCATAAGCCTTTCTTCACATTTATTCAAAATAACTTAATCGTTTATGTTTTCAGCACCCTATACTATCGGATGACTCCTTTGGGGTATTTTGTTGCCCCAGCACCTGATTTGATTTGTTGTGGTAAATCTGTCCAGCAAAACATTGCGGTGGCATTGTGACTGTATTTAAAAGGATTTTGCGATACTTACAGATTAGTTGCTGATTTCTTCCTTCAGAATGCTGTTTTAACTTGTGGGGGGTTCTAGTCTGTTTTGTGATTGGGGAATGTGATGTTCACTGTCGAGAAGTGGAGTGGGTTCACGTAGAGTTCACGGCTGTTCCAAAAGAATGTGACTCCAGTCGTGGGCAGTAAAGTAAGACCACCTTCAGGGTAAATGTTTGGCATTCCGGTGATGGGGACACTCAGTGGGCTCCACCCGTTTCCCTACTGAAGGTGCCTAAAATCATGAGCTTCATGTCCCTTCGTATTTACATTGTCCAAATATCTCAGTGAGAAACTGCAGGAAGGCATGAGGAGGAGGGAAAATGCAGTGGAGCCAAAATCAAGAGACTAGGCCCTGCAGCTAAGGAGAGAGTTACAGGCTATTAGAGCTGCTTCTTCTAATGGGATTCACTCCAGGCTAGTAGATCTTACAAGGTGAGCACTTAATGTATATTTGTAGTTATTTTGGTGCTTTTCAGTTAAAAGCTGCAGATATTTATCTTGCTTCGAACTTACCAAGACTTCATTTCATACTTAAAATGATGGCATAATTTTCATTTGCACTTGCTTTGGATACAGAACCTATGATTATGTAATGTCCTGTGCACTGTAATTTCTAACTGTCATTTACATGACTGTCCCTATGGGATTCTGCACAAAATTGATATGCTGATTGAAGGCATCATCAAAGACATCATCAAAAACCCCTTCCATCCCAGTTATATTCTCTTCCAGCCTCTTCTGTCAGGCAGAAGACACAAAAGCTTAAACACAGGCACCAACAGATTCCAGCTCCTTCCCTGCTAATAGGCTTCTGAATGGACCTCACAAATTTTAAATTTAATGTTGATCTTGCTCTTTGTGCACCTTCTCTAATGCAATAACATTGTATTCTGTTCTATTACTCTAATGCACTGTGTATGGTATGATCTGCCTGTACTGCCACGCAAAACAAACCTTTTCACTGAGCCAAGGTACATGTGACAATAATAGAGATAACAAGGTTTAGAGCTGGATGAACACAGCAGGCCAAGCAGCACCACAGGAGCAGGAAGGCTGACGTTTCGGTGAAGGGTCTAGGCCCGAAACATCAGCCTTCCTGCTCCCCTGATGCTGCTTGGCCTGCTGTGTTCATCCAGCTCTACACCCTGTTATCTCAGATTCTCCAGCATCTGCAGTTCTTACTATCTCTGTGACAATAATAAATCAGATCAAATTGAAAAGGAATTACTCTGTGATTGTTCACCTGGAAAATCAAAGTGGGCCAGTGTGGTTCATTATCAGCTCTCCTTGCTACCCCCACCATGAATCATAGAACCCCTACAGTGTGGCAACAGGCCCTTTGGCCCAACCAGTCCACACCGACCCTCAAAGCATCCCACCCAGCTATAACCCACCTAATCTACACATCCCTGAACACTACAGGCAATTTAGCATGGCCAATCCACCTAACCTGCACATCTTTGGATTGTGGGAGGAAACCGGAGCACCCGGAGGAAACCCACGCAGACACGGGGAGAACGTACAAACTCCACACAGACAGTTGCCTGAGGGTGGAATCGAACCCGGGTCCCTGGCGCTGTGAGGCAGCCGTGCTAACCACTGAGCCACCGTGCAGCCCCATGACTCTGTTGGTGAATAGTATTCATCTTTCTGTGAATCAGAATGTTGTAATTGCAAGCCATGCGCCACAGACTTGATCTATGCTGACACTCAAGTAGCATACCAAGGCAGTGCTGTACTGTTGGAGGTGTCACCCTTTGAATGGAGAGTTAAACCAAGGCACAGCGTGCTCTCTCAGGTGGCTATACTTTGAAGATGGGCAGGAGCATTGTTTTGGCCAATATTATCCTCAACCAACATCATTTTTAATAAAATTATCTGGTCATTTTCCAAGATCTACTGGCCTGGAATGAATCCCAATATCTATGAGACATTGCTTTGTGGTAATAGACTGTTGTGTTCCCCACATTATAACAGTAGTTACAAGGCAACTATAAAGTTGTGAGCAGATTGCAATCCATTTACTGGATTGGTGAGTGGCAGGACTGGTTATAATGTCAATTATGTTGAGCTCTTAAGACAACCGTCTGGCCTGTACTGTAACTTCACTGAAAACTCTCCCAGTGTCTCATGGTGTTGGGCCACATGACTACAGCAAACCAGGATGCACATTGGTAAGGGTTGCATTTCTATTCATAATATCTTTGTGATCATACAAAAAAAAACAAACACCATTCTCAGGCCAGTTCATATATATTTTTAGTTATCCAAGTCACAACATATGTACAACTATTCTCATGCACTAATAGTTCATTATTCTACTCAGTCTGTTTATATGCACTGGACACAATGTTGTGCAAATTGTTGTTGGCTGTTCATCTGGTGATGTTTCTATCCCAGGGAGTATCATTCCTGTGTAAGTATAATTTCCGTCATTGGTGTTGACACCTAGGTCTGATGATTGACCTGAAAACTGAGCATGTAGCAAGTTCGCATCTTTTGATTGACTGTCTGTAGGAGGGGAACAGCTTCTCCAGCTGTGAGTTTGGTCCTGTGACAATATATCCAGTTGTTCACTTACATTGCACAGGATCAGGGCAACATGCCCAGCTCTGCACATGCCCAGCTGGCACTTGCGCCGCCTATTGTTGAGGCTGTTGGAGGCTTGGACCCTGATTGGTTCTACAGTGCTCAATTCTGGCAAAGGTTTCTCAACTTAATTGAAATGAAATATGGCTTTCTGCTGTTTTGTCTTGAGGTCATAACTCATACCTGTAACTATGTTTGGCTTCAGTAGTGTTTTTTGCAAGGGGGAGAATAGTTTGGTTTTTGTACAGGCCTTCAACGGTGCATTTTGCCTTTTGAGGGTTGCCTTGCGTGTTTGACGTGTTTAAGATTCCTTTGGCTGTTTCACTGCTGCCTTGGCCTTTCTGCTTTACAGAGCTCAGTGTGAGGATGATGGAAGGTGTTATATTTCTCAATACTTTACAAAGAATTCTTCTGTAACAAACTGAGGGCCACTGTCATTCATCACAATGTCGGAATGTCACAAAGATTGAAGTGTAATCCGAGGCCTTTGACAATCTCATTGGTAGTCCTTGAAGTCAGCTGTTTCACCTCTCAGTAGTCAAAATAGTCTGCTACTGTGAAGAGATCTACTCCCAACTTTATCCATGGGCTCTCTGGAAAACAAGTATCATCACTGACTTTTCATTTTACTTAACTTGGCACTCGTCACTGGCAGATGTGGGCCTTGATTCTGTTGCTCATGTTTAGTCAGTAGAGCACATCTTTTACCTTCTTCACACTTGACTCAATCTCTTAATGACTTGCATGTGTAAACCTCTCCTCTCAATTATCCCTATTCCTTTGGGATAATTACTCTGTTTCTTTTGTACAATATGCCATCTTGGATTGTCAATCAAGTCTTGGTGCCCAATTCATGGCATATATTGTTCACACACTGAGATACGATGTTACTTTTTGAAGCAATAACAGGGAGCATTTGAGACTGAATGGCACCAATAATCTTGTGAATTAAAGATTCTGCCTGACAACAGCCCTCTGATTGGTTGAGCTACAGAGAATAAAAAGCTCTAAGTGAAATGCCAAGCGCAGCAGAGAAGGAGAAACATCCAGAACCTGCAGACAGAAAGCATGCATCTTGCTCTCTCTCTCGCTCTCTCTCTCTCTCTGTGCGTGTGTGTGTGGGGAAAGGCAGAAAAAGCAAGAAACTAAAAAGAAAGAATTCTAAAGCAAAAAAAAGGTCTTGTGTCACCTAATCAAACAGCAAGCAAAAGAATGACCATTAGCCTTAAGACAAGGGAGTGTCCTTATTGATAAAATTAAAGGGACTGTGAGAAAAATAACTTCCCACCTTGAGGTATGGACATTTGATCTTCAGAATTTTGCTTACCCTGTCTATATTCCTTTCCTACCATTATATGTGTGTTAAACAGGTTTCCTTTTTGAGATCTGGGTGAAGACCTTTTGCTGTCAGTACATGATCTATATACTTGACTTCAGAGACCCTTAGTTACATTCTTTCTTCTTCAGCTTCAGGTTCATTGGGTGAGTTTTGTCTAGCAAATTTTAACTGTGGTCAACAATGGTTTCTTCAATGGTGTCTCTGCAGCCATAAACTAATAGACCACCGAATGTTGGTTCTACTTACATAAGATCATTAACTATCTCATATTGTTGATGTTCATATTCTTCAGGAGCTGTGGAGATGCCAATGTCATTGACAACCATATCTAACTCCTGAAGGACATCTAGAACGTAATTGGAGCACTACTGCTTTCAATCAACTTCACTTGTATGGTATTGAGCGATTTGTCAAAATCTTCAGCTGATATCTTTCCAATGGCCAGATGGACCTGTTTGCTGTGCTTCCTTCAGCCATATACTTGCATGCAAAGTGATTCAGCTTCTTATAGTGACAACACTGGTTTTCCCATGTTAGATATGCTTTCTTCTCCCTTGTGCGATATCCTCCTCAGTATTTGCATATTGCCCTTTGACCATGACTGTTCTGCCATTTGGGCCTCAGGTTTTCTATTAACATAATGCAATGAATATGTTCTTGCTGCTAACTCGAAACCCTGGTGCTTCTGCATCAATCACTTAAGCTTCTTCGCTCACAGTTGACTTGCTCTCACTGCAGGATATACCTAATATAAACCTGACTAATTAGATCATCTTTTAATTGTGCAAATTCACAGGATTCTGTAAGCTGTGTTAATAAAGTCATATCTTGAAGTCATGATGGAGTCATTCATTTTGGGTCCTAGTATTTATAAAATGTACTGTCTGTAACTCATGTTCACTTGTGGTTCAAAGCGTGCCTTTCAAAATTTCTGCAGTCTGTTTCTTTCTGTTCTTCAGAGAAATCTCTTCCCAACAGTTATAAGAGTGTAGCTTTGTGTAGCTGCTCTGACCTGTTCAGCAAATCTATGCCAAACACCAGTTACTAGGTTACATTCTCCTACCCCCATCACAGAAATTCCCTTTTGTTTCCACTGAAGTCAATGGAAGTAGTCATGGTAAAGATGTCGAATGGATTGTCAGTATATGATTATTTCACTCTATTACACAATGTGAGAAATACCCCAAGTGTCCCAGCTGATTCTCTAACAGGTAGTTAAGTTTCTATCTGCACTACAATTCAGTAACTGAGTTATAAAAATATTTACAATTTTCCTGTTCCTGAAAGAACAACCTCTCTCTCTAATGAGGGTGTTTCTTTTTTTCACAGGCCTTAGAATTATTTTAAAATATATATCTTCATTGGCAGTTTTTCCAATGCATTTTACCCTGTGTGTCAGTCTGCCTGGATTCATGTATCCACTGCCTGATGAAGGAGCAGCGCTCCGAAAGCTTGTGATTTCAAATAAACCTATTGGACTATGAGTCGTGTGACTTCTGACCTTGTCCTGTTGGAAAGGCCTGCAGGACAGCCTGTTCAGTCACATTACAAAGGTCCTTGTATCATCATCAAGCCCTGGAGTGGGACCTGAACCCAAAGCTTTTGACTCAGAAGCAGGAATACTACCCTCTGCACCATGTGACATCCAACATTTGAACTGGACTGGCCTCATTGGCCATACTATCCTTTCTTACAAAATGCCTGCCCAACATTACCTAGTTCAGAGCAGGAACGGAACCTTTGATTGATACCCTGAGGCAAATGGAGCCACCCACATTGTTGAACTGAGCGTTAGCACAAAATCGTATCGCCTGTACCCCTCCAGCTTTAGTGCAAAAAGTGGAATCGGAATACATTAAACATACAGCATGGAAGCAGGCTAATCCATCAAGTCCACACCATCCCTCCAAAGAGCATCCCACCCAGACCCACCCCCCAACCACATCCCTGTAACCCTGCATTTCCCTGCATTGGCTGACACACCCAGCCTGCACATACCTGGACTCTATGGGTAATGTAGCATGGCCAATCCACCCTAACCTAGTTGACTACTTTCTTCCAAATTGGCATTAGGTTGTTGAATTCATCTTTGATTAGGAAACAGTAGAACTGGCCTGGGTTACCCAAAACTTGCAGGAAATGTTAAGATTGGGTAAGGACATGACCAAGTGTTGTACAAAACAGTTAGTACCTGATAGGGTTAACCCAGCCCTATCAGGATATAAAGGATCATTCCTGGGTAGAGCTACTGTTGTGTGTGCCCAATGAATTCAGCATCTGTTCACCAAAAAATGCTCTAGTGATTCTTCTTCATGTTAAGTAGCAAAATGCTCTTAATCTTGCGTTGAGTCTAGTGAGACTGTCATGTATCTGAGATGTAATGTAACTAAATACTACATAATATGTAATAATGTGTTATTCCTCATCAAGATTGAGCTATCCTCTGCCAAGATATCCACATCGGCTTCCTCCCCCATTTGGCATCAGTATCTTAGACTGATACCAGCCAGAAGGATTGGTACTGGCATATCTACCCAAGGTATCTCACATGGTTCCAGCAGCTACCAAACATCGAGAATGCTGGTAGCTCTCACATTCAAATATACCAGAGATAACTGTGCCCCCATTCATTGTTTTTGACAGACACCAAAAAATAACTATTTCCAGCAGGGAATCAACATCTTCAGCAAACAGGAGGAAAATCAATGGATAACAGGGAAGTGTTTTAATAAAAGTATCAGTGGTAGATATCAAGTTCCACAGACATCATTAAGGTCTTACTTAACAGCTCCGTGCTACTAAATAGAGAAGGAGTGTTCAGGTCTGTGTACAGGCAGTAAACCCCAGATTGGCACTAGGCTGTTGAATTCGCCTTTGATTAGGAAACAGGAGAATTGGCCTGGGTTTCCCAAAACTTATCAATATTCCACCAGCCTTGTAGGAAGTGCTTTATGCAAAGGTTGGGTAAGGACATTACCAAGTGTTGTTCGTCCCTGATAGGGTGAACTGACACCACAAGATAAGTCATGCCTGTCAGCATGTAGAGGATCCCATGGCCACTCTGGTTTTAAAATCAGGTGTCCTATCAAGAACAATGTGATCTTTGCTTGGGACTGAATAAGCAACTAATTGCAAAACAAGGGAATTTAAAAGCCCCCAGTCACATGAATGTACAAAAGGGTGTTAGAAATCTGTTCACACAATGCTCTCTTTCTTCTGTATTTTATTGCTGGGTACATCCAGATGAAATATCACTGAGGAAACTACTCTTTAGCTTCTGATTGACCTCCACTCCCACATTGGTGCTTACCCTTGTGACTGTATAACTTGATAATGCAATTGGGGTATAGTGTTACGAAGAAACTGACCTGAGTCCAATAATCTGTCCTAAACATTTACCGATGGAAATAAATATTGCAGTGGTAATGGTCACAATCCCTCGCAACTTCTTCGGAGAGCATTCCATAAGGTACATGCAGTGAACATTCAGACCGTTCCCTTCAGGTAGAAAGGAAATAAAACACCAGCATTAATTGTTACATCTGTCGTAGGACTACATCAGGCACTAAGCCCCTTCCATAACATGTTCCCTTCCAATAATGTTCCCTTTTTATTTATTAATCTTGACCCTGGACACGAAGGAGAATGTGAAATAAGGAACTGATGCTGGAGATGAATAGGACCTGACCCCAGGCAGGAACGGGGACTGACCCTGGAGGTTGGGTCTTATCCCAGACTGTCCTGAGAGAAAAATGTCTGGATGATTATACTTACAATGAGAATGTTACAGGAGAGTGTGGGGGAAGATTAATGCTACAGCAGGGGGTCAGTTTGGAGTCGTTACAGAAACATTGGTCTGGTTTTATGCCACACAGCACAGCTTTGGGCTGAACAGACCTTTGTTCATGTGCCTTTATGTACAATATTAAAATGCCTTTCAGAGTCACAAATGATAGTTTTCTTCTAAGCGTGCAATTCCTCACATAACTGATGGGCTCAATGTATGATTCCTACAACCTCCTCCCACACATTCCCTACCACCATCTTGTCTTCCCGTCACTCCCCTCCCAACCATCACTTGGGGCCTGTTCCCAGCCTCAGTGCAGATAGTTAAGGATTAATGTCAGTACAATAGATTTTAAATCCTCTGTGATATCTGTGAGGTCAGATTTCCACTGGCCACTCGCTACATAGTGCAACATCTAAAATCCAGCAGAACCTTGTTTTTGACCTCTAGCTTTAGAAATATCTAGGACACCAAGAGTTTTATTTGATGTATTTACAGCTCTACAAGAAAAGACCATCGTACTGTGTCATTTACCAAAACATGGAAACATTCCTCATACCTGCAGTTACTCCATACATGAACCTTGCCACTAATATCATCTCAAAGGATCTTGCCATCCTGCTGAAGCCCACGGACAAAGCCCCTGCTATTGTCAAAACATTGTTGAAAGTCAAACAGTTCCTTCTGAAACACAAAGGGTTTGAGTTGAAAGGACGAGGAATTGAATGTAAAAATGGCATGTTTTGTACCAAGTGACTGGGATGGGAGAGGTGAGGCTGGTACATTCGGGTTGAAATGGCTTCCAACCGAGGCTGATGGTGGTATTTCAGAATCAAAATCAGATCAACAGTACCTGAGGTGGGTCAGTTTGTGTTATTCAATAGTGCTGTTGATTGAGCAGTTAGTGTGGCTCCTAACTGGAAGCTTTCACTCTGGGCGGGGGATTTCTCCCACAGTTCTCAATAACCTTGCAAGCCTGTGATCTATTGAGGACAGTGCTCCTTGCTGGACAAGAAATAAACCAGTTCTCTCATAGGCTGGTGCATTGCTTTACTTCAACTGGTTAGACCTGGGTATCACCCCAGCACATAATTCAAGACTGATTCCATAAATCTGTGCTCTCGCTGTTTACATTTTAAGAGCCCAACCTGTGCAAATTTCTCAAAAATATGTTTCTGGGGACTCTAAATCTTCATACACTCAGTTCTCAGCTAAATTCAATCTTACATGGCTTCCTCGGGATTTTAATTACTTCTCATCATTTTTCCATCATTATACACTGGATATATTTTTAGGAATGTATTATTTTTGCCTGCAACCTCGTCCGAACGTTCTCTTTCATACGTGACGGCATGAGGGTGTCTCTTTTCAGATGTCATCCCTCTCCCCTCTATACCTGCCACCATTCCCTCTCTTCTCTGACCCTCTGTCCTTGCAAATTATCTCCTATGCCCCTGGTCTCTCCAAAGTACTTGAACATGTCGTCGTCTTCCCAAATCCATCTCTCCCAGAATCCTATGTCTGAATCAATCCAATCAGATTTCCACCCTGGCCCAGAATTAAACTGGCTCATTATCAAAGTCACAAACTCGATTCGACTGTGGTAAACATAGATGTTTTTTTTTCTCAACCTGCCTACAGTCTTAGACATGGTTGGCCACATTGCTCACCAATGCTGTACGCCATCATTGAGTCGGATGGAACTTATCCCAAGTGATTCCATTCTTTTCTATCAAAGTATGAATGACAATGACAGCAAATGACAATGACCAGCATTCAGTGATTGAATGCAAAAAATTGAGCTGCATTTCCATCACAAAGGCTGAAAATCCTGAAATATTCTCCTCTTACGAGTTTCTATTCACCTACCTTCCATATTTCACTGAGAGGTGTCCAGCGATTAGTGATCCAAACACAGCTCCAATTGAATACACCGACACAATAATTGACCAGGTCGCTTTCATTGCATGTTCCTCCATTGTTGTACCGTAGCGTTCCAGCCAAGTCTCATTGATAAAATACTTAATGTACTGCAATTAGGAAGTAGCATGTTAAAATCAATATTTGTTTGGGTGGGAGGGACCGGGGGCCTCCTCTTGTTAAACTGTAGCTGACGCCCTTCAATTATTAGCTTCTTTTAATCTGTTTCAATGCAACGCCCCTGGCTGAGAAAGCAGCTTTCATCTGGGCCTCTGTCAATGCTCATCTCAAACTGGTCCATGCAAACCAAGTGCTTCCCCCGTCTGACATTGTAAGAACTGCAGGTGCTGGAGTCAGAGATAACACAGTGTGGAGCTGGAGGAACACAGCAGGCCAGGCAGCATCAGGGGAGCAAGAAAGTTGACGTTCTGGGTCAGTTCCTGCTCCTTTGATGTGCCTGGCCTGCTGTGTTCCTCCAGCTCCACACTATGTTATCTCTGCTTCCCCCTTCTCCTTTGGAAAAACTTCTGGTCTCAACAGCTTAAGCATTGCAACATAAACCAACTTCCTCCTCACCCATTCTACCCTGATGGGACTATATATGTTTCCAGGCCCACTCCAAGCAATACAAGCAAGTGCACAGGCATTGGATTGATTTACATCAATGCACAAACTCCCAGACAAGGTTTGGTATGTGGTCAGGGCTGGAATTCTATTCCCATTCTATTGCCTCATCAATGTCGCAAAAACTGAAGTCCTGCAGGCATGGGGCACAACCCAGAGGTGCCTGCCAAAGTTGTTTTTTGTTTAAGATATGAAGCATTTCTCTCCTGAGAGAGCAGTAGAGGATCAAATTACTGCAGGGGCTGAAATCTGTACTGAAAACAAAATATGCTAGAAATCAGGCAGCATCCATGGTGAGACAGCAAGCTAACGTTTCAAGTCTAGATGACCCTGAGTATGTTTCCAGGTGGCACGGGGGTTCTGAGATGGCTTTTGTTCACGATACAGCTCTTGACTGGAGCAGAGGTTACATCATCTAGAAGGTAAGTTTTTTTTTGTGGATACTACTTGGTTCACATGATCTCTTGTTAGGGGGTGTTTTCCCAGAGGTTATTTTCCCTCATTGGACCCGGATCTTTTTGCAGGGTTTTAAGCTCTTGCAGAAGAAAACGTGGCTGGGCAGGGAGTGGAGGGAGGGTATGTTTAGGCATGATGCCTTGGTCATCCTGGAATTGCATAGGCTAAATTGCCCAACTCGTCTTTCCCAAGCCTTCAAATCAGTCTGGTCAAATGTCAACACAACTCAATAAATGGAGGGTTATATTTCAAGGATATAATGCTCCTCATGATCCAATTTCAATGGTCTTTCTCCACAACATACTGGCTGCCAGTTGTAAAGATTAGACTTGGTTAGGGACTGACTGCTTTGGAAATGACAACATCCATTTAACACGGGACTAAAGGCATCTATTCTACAAGCCCTTGGTCTCTACACCAGAAGCAGCAAATATCAGGGAACACAATCATCCTCATGTTCTCCTGCATAGAGTCATAGAGTCATACAACATGGAAACAGACCCTTCGGTCCAACCAGCCCATGCCAGACATAACCCCAAACTAAACTAGTCCCACCTGCCTGATCCTGGTCCATATTCCTTCAAACCTTCCCTGTTTATACATCCATCCAAATGTCTTTTAAACATTGTAATTGTACCCCCATCCACCACTTCATCAGGAAGTTCATTCCACATGTGAACCATTATCTGTGTAAAAAATTAGCCTCTCATGTCTTTTTTAAATTTTTCTCCTCTCACCTTAAAACTGTGTCCCCTAGTTTTGAAATTCCCCATTTTAGGGAAAAGACAACTACCATCAACTCTATCTATACCCCTCATTATTTTATAAACTTCTATAAGGTCACCTCTCAACCTCCTAAGCTCCAGTGAAAAAAGTCCCAGCCTATGCAGTCTTTCCTTATAATTCAAACATTCCATACCCAGCAACATCCTGGTCAATTTCTTCTGAATCCTCTCCAGCTTGATAATATCCTTTCTATAATTGGGTGACCAGAATTGGGTCAAGTATTCCAGAAGAGGCCTCACCAATATCCTGTACAACATGTCATTTTTCATCAGTGCTGGATCAACATCTAGGAATTCCCTCATGTACCAGCTTGATGGAAACCCTATTAGCTCAAGGATTGAAGAGGGTGAAGGAGAAGGTATTTTCCCAGGGCAACTAAAGATGCTCAAAAATGAGGCTTTGCTAACTTCACCAAGAATAAATTAGGCTAAAAACTGCTGTTGGAGGAAACCAACTAAATTTAGCAACTTCTAAATAATGACACCTGTAACTTATAGCATTGGGCCATTTGTTTTGGCTATTTTTTGCAAACATATTTCAGGAATAAATTCACCTTTCTGGAAGCGGAAGTGGGAGCATAATTTCAATCTCAAGAGAAATATCACTTTGCAAATAAAATAAACAATAGATCTGTCTTCTACTGACCTACATTCTCGTTTCCATTGATACTGATTTAAATTCTTTATGAGAAGCAGCTCTTCTGATAGGTGAAGTCACACACCAGCACTCAGGTCTGTATCAGTGTTTAAAATTGACCACAGTCACCCCAAAAGAATGCTGCTACAAACTGCATTGTCTCTGGACAGACAGAGACTTTTTCCTCGGGTGGAGGTAGCTATTACGAGGGGGCTTAGTTTTAAGGTGAGTGGAGGTAGATATAGGGGAGACGTCAGAGGTAGGTTCTTTACTCAGAGAGTGGTAGGGGCGTGGAATGCATTGCCGGAGAGGGTAGTGGAGTCGGCCTCATTAGGGGCAGTTAAGCGGCTATTAGACAGGCATATGGATGATAGTATAAAGTAGGGGTGGAGGTTAGATAGACCTTAGGATTAGGGTAGAAAGTTCGGCACAACATCGTGGGCCAAAGGGTCTGTACTGTGCTGTACTGTTCTATGTTCTATGTTTCCTTAAAGTCACAGTAACAGAGCAATGTAACGATACGTGTTACTCACAACTGATGGTGCATTAATCAGAGCCATATTGAGTCCATGCTGAAGTGTTCCTCCCATTGCAGAGACGACGATCAGCAACAAAAGAACCTTCAGGTGCAACTGTATTTGGAGAAAGTGTTGTCATTCATAAGTACCCCCAGTCCTCCATGTTATTGTTAAGTCATTGTTAGGATCGCAAGATCGATGTGTGGATAAAGAAAGATCTTGGGGTTGTCTGATCTCCAACTTACAATATACCTGTCATTTTCCTATTCTTACCATCGAAATGAGTCTTGTACTCTGGTCTGAGTCACACTGCCTGATCCAGATATTGATCAGACTCTGTGCAAATGAAAGTCTTCTCCAGGACTAGGTTTATTTTATCTATAACATAAAGTACCTTCTAAACAATGCTGTCACGAACAAAAACAAAGTTGCTGGAAAAGCTCAGAAGATCTGGCAGCATCTGTGAAGGAAAAAACAGAGTTAACATTTCGGGTCTAGTGACCCTTCCTCAGAACTGATATTTGTCACTAATGTTGTCACTAATTAGTTGTCAATAATATTTGTTTCTTGAGCATAGCCTGTTTGTTTCACCACACGAGCTGTTTAAGATTGCTACACTGTTCCTTCCACTTGAAGGTAATGTCGGTAATGCTGCCACTTTATTGCGTACCTGTGAAACTTCATTGATTCTGTGAAGTTCCCTTCAAGACATATTTTGAGGTGCTAAATCCTAGTTCATCTTGCTGTTCCTTATAAAGAACAAAAAGCAAAGCAAATTACAGCACAGGAACAGGCCCTTCGGCCCTCCAAACCTGCACTGACATGCTGCCCGTCACAACTAAAAGCCCCTCCCCTTCCGGGAACAATATCCCTCTATTCCCATCCTATTCATGTATTTGTCAAGATGCCCTTTAAAAGTCACTATAGTATCTGCTTCCACTACTTCCCCGGCAGCCAGTTCCAGGCACCCACCACTCTCTGTGTAAAAACTTGTCTCGTACATCACCTTTAAACATTGCCCCTCGCACCTGAACCCCATGGCCCCTGGTAACTGACTCTTCCACCCTTCTGACTGTCCACTCTGTCCATGCCCTTCATAATCTTGTAGACCTCTATCGGGTCGCCCCTCAACCTCCATCGTTCCAGAGAGAACAACCCAAGTTTCACCAACCTCTCCTGATAGCTAATGCCCTTCATACCTGGCAACATCTTGGTAAATCTTTTCTGTACCCTCTCCAAAGCCACAGCATTCTTCTGGTGGTGTGAGGACCAGAATTGAACACAATATTCCAAATGTGGCCTAACTAAGGTTCTATAAAGCAGCAACATTACCTGCCAATTTTTAAACTCAGTGCCCTAGCCGATGAAGGCAAGCATGCCATATGCCTTGTTGACTATCTTCTCCACCTGCGTTGCCACTTTCAGTGACCTGTGTACTTGTACACCCAGATCCCTCTGCCTATCAGCACTCTTAAGGGTTCTGCCATTTACTGTACATTTTGCATCTGGATTAGACCTTCCAAAATGCATTACCTCACATTTTCCTGGATTAAACTCCATCTGCCATCTCTCTGCCCAAGTCACCAAACGATCTATATCCAGCTGTATCCTCTGACAGTCCTCATCGCTATCCGCAATTCCACCAACCTTTGTGCTATCCGCAAACTTACTAATCGGACCAGTTACATTTTCCTCCAAATCAGTTATATAAATTACAAATAGCAAAGGTCCCAACACTGATCCCTGAGGAACGCCACTAGTCACAGCCCTCCATTCAGAAATGCACCCTTCCCCTGCTACCCTCTGTCTTCTATGACAGAGCCAGTTTTTTATCCATCTTGCAAGCTCTCATCTGACCCCGTGCGACTTTACCTTCTGTATCAGCATGCCATGAGGGACCTTGTCAAAAGCCTTACTGAAGTCCAGGTCGACTACATCCACTGACCTACCCTCATTGATCATCTTCGTCGCTTCCTCAAAAAACTCAACCAAGTTAGTGAGACATGACCTCCCCTTCACAAAACGATGTTGCCTCTCACTAATATGCCCACTTATTTCCAAGTGCGAGTAAATCCTGTCTTAAAGAATCCTCTCCCATAATTTCCCTAACCCTGACGTAAGGCTCACCGGCCTGTAATTAGCTGGATCGTTCCACTTTCTGGTACTTTACAAGATGGTTATGTTTAAAAATGTCTTCCTTAACTGAGAGTGAAACAGAATGTTCTGGAATGAGCTGTGGTCATATTAAACCAATGAGATATAGGAGGAAAATTTTGCCATTTGGCCTATCAAGTCTGTTTGACATTCAGTCATGGCTGACATGTTTCTCAACCACATTGTCTTGTCTTCTCCCTATAACTTTTGATCCCCTTACCAATTAAGAGCTAGTCTACCTCTGTCTTAAAGACACTCAGTGACCTGGCCTCCACAGCCTTCTGCGGCAATGAGTTCACAGATTCACCACCCTCTGACCTATGTGACTGGGGGCTATAGGGAAAAGAAAGCTATTGTGAAAGCAATTGAGAATCATGTAACATCTTGGCACAGAACAAAGGAATGGCTGCTTTTTGGATACAGAGCTATCGAGAAAGAGAGAGAGAGAGGGAGAAAGCAGTTAGTGTCACGAAGAGCAGGGAAGACTGTTTCTGTGTCCCCAGTCGTGCAGCAGTTAGCTCTCTGATCAGTAGGATGAACAGAGGGGCCTTTTGGAGATTTAAGGAACAAACAATCGCCAGATTGCTGGTGGATATGGGTTCTGGAATACTCAAGCCGAGTGGAAAAATATTCTCTTTTTTTATTAATTCATTCACAAGTTGAGGACATCATTGGCTAAGCCCATCCCTAAGTGCCCAGAGGGCAGTGATGAGTCAACCACATTGTTGTGGGTCTGGAGTCACATGGAGGCCAGACCAGGTAAGGATGGCAGTTTCCTTCCCTAAAGGACATTGGTGAACCAGATCGATTTTTCCAACAATCGAGAATGAGTTCATGGTCATCATTAGATTCTTAATTCCAGATTGTTATGGAATTCAGATTCCACCATCTGCTACGGCAGAATTCAAACTCACATCCCCAGAACATTACCTGGGTCTCTGGATTAACAGTCCAGTGATAATACCACTAGGCCATCGCCTCCCCACAGTCATGGAAAGATTTGCCATGATACATCAGGGAGCAGAGATCCTGCTAGAAAGCTGGGAGCAACCAGTGTCCTGTTCACAAACAGCAGGACAAATACCACTAACCATCAGTCCATTCTCGATTAGTAGCGATGTGATTCAATTTCTTTCAGTGCCTCAGAAAGCACAATCACACAATAACTAAATAAAAACCAAAAGAACTGCAGATCCTGTAAATCAGGAACAAAAACAAAGTTGCTGGAAATGCTCAGCAGGTCTGGCAGCATCTGTGAAGGAAAAAACAGAGTTAACGTTTTGGGTCCGGTGACCCTTGTCTGTTTGACCTACTGTCTTCCCACCTTCCAAGGCCCCAAACACTTCTTCCAAGTCGCAAATTGCCAGCACTCCTTTCAAGTTAACATACAGTATTCTCACAAAGCTCACAAAGTGGTCTCTTTTATTTTTAGGGAACAAAGCACAGACTGGGTGATTGATTTGTGGAATACCTCCACTCCGTTGCAGGCATAATCCTGAGCTTTGTTTGTCATTTCAAGACATGAGCTTGTCTGCACTCTGACGTCTCTGTCCTGGGTCTGCTGTAGCGCTCCAATGGAGCATGAGAAACAGCTCCTCATTGTTCAATTCATCCCTCTATAGCTCAGTGGGCTCAACATTGAATTTTGGATCATAATCTCTGCCACCATTTTTCATGGCGTCTTTTTTTGCTTACTTATTTTTTCCTCATTTCTTTATATATTTATTCACCTTACATTCACTTTGCAACCATCCAGCCCTCACCTGAACACAAATTTCGTTCCTTCACTTGTCACGGCTGCTCTCTTTGGTTTTTGTACCATGAAGCCTTCTGTCTCCTAGCCTCCAATTTAGCACGGACCTTCCATTTTGTTCTTCCTTTTCCCCTCTTCAGTTGCTCAAAGCCCATAACATTTTGAATTACAGTTCTGGTTAAAGGGTGAGCATTAACCCAAAATGTTAGTGTTGTATTTTTCTTCATAGAAAGTACTTGACCTTCCGATTACTTCCAGCATTTCCAGCCTCTGCATTATTTTGCTTTCGTGTTATGGAGGATGTTGTTGACAATGTCAAGTACTCACTCACGGACAATGTGCTCAAGTGAAGTTCTGCCAGGGCCACTCGGAACATTACAGCCTTGTCCCAAAGTTAGCTAAAGAGTTGAATTTCAGAAGGTGAAAGAAACTTCCCCGACCTAAAGGTAGTTCACTCTGACAGATGGCTCTGAGGAAGCCAGACCAGTGACAAGTACTATGCAGGTGTAAATAAAGGGTGACTTGGTGACAGGATACTGGTCTCTGTAGAGCTATTTCAGTGGTGACGAGAGAAAAAAAATGCTCCTGAAGTAATTTGCTCACAATAGTCGTCTTTGAGTTGAGATAAGCATTTCTGGCCTCACGCTGTTATTTAGGAAGCTCGACAAGTTCAATCCTGCCATCGCAGACTGGGCCCAGTATGTGAAAAGGATGCATTTACTTTTCCCGGCAAATGATATTGGGGCAGATGGAAAACAATGACTAATTCTCCTGACAGCTTGTGGACCCCCGGGTTTTTTGGTTATTAGGGGCCTAACGTTTCCTGAGGCACCAGATACTAAAACCTTTCAAGAGTTGATGGATTTATTAAAGGAATACTAAGACCCCAAGCCTCCTCTAATTCTGAGATGTTATCGGTTTTACTGGCAGGTCAAGAACAAGGGGAATCCATGTCAGGATTTTGGATGAGGTTAATACGACTGGCAGAGGCAGATGATTCTGGTTTAATCCTCAATGGAACGCTGAGAGACTGTTTGGAATGTAGGATTAATGATGCGACCGTGCAAAAGTGCCTACAAGCTGAAGCCCAACTGGACTTCAAGCAGGCACTGCAACTAGCTTTGTCATTGGAAAATGCAGCAAGTGGAGTATCTGAGTTACAGGGTATTGATGGAAGTGGACACACTCGCCAGGCCAATGGAGATTG